AGGTACCGGCAGGGAGTAATTCCTCAGCTTCGAGTGCAATCACGCAATCTAGAGTCCAGTCTTGACATCGATCCTGCACTAATTAGAATTATATCCAATCAGCAATGGTTTCCTCACTTTATTGTTCCGCGGTGCTGATTCTTTTAATATAATATCCACAACCTGATTATACTTTGTCGGTTCGATGTAACCTAAAAGTACCCTCCCTTCACAAGTCTGGCTTTCTAGTGGGTGACCGCTTCGAGTTTCGAACTAATAAATCAATCCTTCAAAAGATATCAACTGTACGTGCAGGAGGTTTCCAACTTCGTTTCCCTAACGGAAGATCAGAAAACCCCAATGGGAGCGGTGGTTCGGGTCTTCTCCGTCCCCATAGATTCCGATCGACAACGTGTAGTACGACATCGGTCTCGCGCAACGCAGAGTATTCCAAGCTTAGTACTGGGAGGTATTCAAGAAGATTAGAGAAGAGTGGAGGACTGGCTGAGCACGATGAATGAAGGGACTGTGTTAAATACGCGAAAGATGCAGCAGAGACAGATTTAGGATCATCCCCGCTTCCAAGCTCCTTCTAACTAATGCATCTACCTAGCAAGATCCAAATTCAGATCTAGGCAGGCATCTCAACTGAACAAGGCAGCCCGGAAGGTTATTAAAAACGGGCGAATGACCGCAACTTCTCACAATGGCACCATCACCTATATCGGTATCCTGAACCCGAACTATGCAACCATCTCCCTAACTTTATGTCTAGGAATGAGGCACAGAAGCTGTTAGATCGGGTGAAGAAGTTGTTATTGCCGCGCTTTCGCAAGCCAAGCAAACTGTTCATATCTAGGAGCGACTGCTTGGTGATGTATAGCATAACAATTTCTATTCTGAAAATGACTTTTTTACTACAGGAAATCCACGAAATGGTACTATCACGATAGATAGGTTAGCTGCAAAAAGAAACCAACAGTTCCTGTTACCTCGGCACTAAGTCCCAATAAGCCACTGATGCTCACTCTGCATCTTATCCACCCTACCAACTGTGTGCTTTTATAATGATCCATATGCAGTTAATATGCGCCGCGCTGTATAGGGCTATTAACCCCTGTAGGGATTTGAAATGTCATTGCGTACCACGTCCAACGACCTAACTAGTCTAGCTAAGACGAGTGGTATATAGTGAGCTTTCAATCCCTCTCATAAAATTATTCCTCTTCTAACCTGCAATCTGTGCCTTCTCGGGAAGCCAAGAGAGTGATGAGTTCTCAAGATACTATTCCAGACGATACATTGTACCAAGTATGCATAGATGCTGCACGATCAACGATTATTGTTAATCATCTCAGGGATATCAAAACTATCTACCAGTCAGAGATGATGCTAGTTATCCAGCTTCAGATCCAGCAAAACCAGTATCTGCAAGCAAGCAGTTGGATGATAAGAAGAGCAAGGAGCAGCCTGGCAAATTCACCTCGCACAAGACCAAAGAAGCAGTCTCACACACCAACGCTAGTAAGTCTATCCTCCCTTTAGATCGAGTAGCGCTTAAAAATTATATAGAGCGAAAGCCCGAGGAGAGTAACACTGAAGTGGTAGATTTCTTGGACGAATTAGAAAATATAAAGGGGCAGCTGGAACATATATTAAGTAATGTAGAGGACTTGGTCTCTCGTTTCCAAGAAGCGCCCGAAAAACACACTCATAAGGCGTTGCATATGAGCGGCAAGCTCGTTAGATGGGCAGATAGTACTAGTACCAACGGTGCTAAACACGATACACATCGCGCTAGGCAAAAAGCACGTAGAAAATTCTAAGCTCTGTAATAGTTCTTCGAACGAATCTATCAACCAGTTCCTACCTCACATTTTCTTGCGGCTGCTTGTTAGGACGGCTCAACAGAACGTCGAGAAAACATAACTGAGCTCTCTGATGACGACGACACCACTGGCTTTGTGCTTTTGCTAAGTGCATTATGAACACTACGCTACTAAGTTAGACTACCTTCATCAACTTGCCGCGCTGGAAATGACATCATCTCCAAATCTTCAAATGGGATACCCGCTGTCTCACTTATATCCGGTGATAAGTGTAGGGAGCTGTACTCCCAGCTGTTTTCGAGCTCAGCTTTCCTTTCGTACATGCTACCTACATTAGGACCGTCAATTAGATGGAATGAACCATACCTGTAAGTCAAGGGTGGCAAGTCACATATGTTTGATGCGCTGTGGTTCAAATAGGACGTTGGAGTCGATAGATCGTGATTAGATGTTGATGCCTTACTTGAAGTACATGGCGTGAGGAATTTGGTATCTATTAAGGCCTCTGTTTTTCCTTTGGATCGACATAGAGCTATATAGGTTAGATATACACTTGCTACTTAAAGAAAGAGTTTTGGTGCAGACACGCACCCTTCTCGAACACTTCTATAACTGTTAATGCATGTAGTAGCCGCCTCTGCAGCGATCTATTGTCTAGCTCAAGCTCTGTGTTCTAGAGCTGTTAATGAGGCAGTCTATGTTTGAACACTTGATTCCGAACCTGTCGTTCAAGAGCATCAATCTGGTCTTTGACCCTCTGGCGCGACCTTCGCTGACTCTCACGGTTTCTTTCTCTTTTCCGTGCAAGTTGGGTGCTTGTGGGTTTCATAATATTTTCCAGATTTGCTTCTAACAACCACCTTGTCTCTAGGGAAATGCTCGTTCTAATCAGGTTGATAGGAAGGTGTTGTACAGGACCAAAGTAATGATTTCTGGATGGTTAACAAGACAATAACAGTTATTAAGAGCTTTATGGGTGCCTCAATAATTGATTCAGCAGAAAATGAAGGTAAAGGGCTAATGAGACGGCTAATTAGGCTTTGTTGACCGCGCAGCGCTATGTACCCGAAGGGACGCGAATGCAGCTTAGCACAGAAATCATAAGTCGCGCTGGTGGTATAGGGTAAGCGGAATATACACTAAGGCCAGTGCCTCGCATCTAAAATATACTCGAAAGCCTTACGGTGTAGTTAGTAGCAAATATTTTATAGCACAGCTAGTTAGTTATACCATAGATCATTGAGTACTCGTGGGGCTGACGAGAGCCAAGCTTTCCATGACCCCGATATGCCCAGTTACACCGCCCCCACACCGACCTCTAATGCTCGAGATTTTCCCGGTTGTTATGATCTTCAAAACATCAACAAGAGGTGTTATTCTTAACGGCGAGCTTGTACAACCTTATAAGTCTATAGTCTTTTACAACTTACTTGTAAGTATGAAGCACTCAATCTCAGATGTAGACACTGTGCAGCAATCACGATGCCCCAACCACATTTCGAAGCGTCGCAAACTACGACCTGTCAACTCCGAGACGCGCCGCACATCTCTGCTCCATTCGAATCCGTCGAACTTATCAAACCCAGCGTTATGGTCATCACATGCATCCTCAGAATTATTCGCACGCACTGAAAACGCGCCCAAGAATACACATCAGCCTGTGTCAGATGAGCCACGTGAGAAAACAGCGTCAATAGCACACTGGCTCATTAGCTGCGAGGCTGACACGATGGCACCACCAACACCACGAAGCGGATCTGTTTCGTCCAGCTGCGGGAGACGCTCTTCTAAGCGTTCTGCACGTGCATCTCGAACGCCCAGCCCTAGCAAGCGAACGTCACCACAAACATACCGTAACCAGAACATGTCTTACGCTGGAGTCTTTATTGACGACCTGATTGAACTTCCGCACGATGTCGAACGCAAAGTGCGGTATATACTAGAAGTGGAGTCTTTAGAGGATACAATTGGCACGACGGAAGACGATTCGCAGCAGGCGACCTATGTGAAGAGGTTCTTAGATCAGTCGCGTTACAACGCAAGAAGTTGTTCGCTTGAAGGGGACTGGAAAGCCAGTTTGTTCAGTCTTATGGGCGACTTAGCACGAGACAACTTCCAATGTCATACATCAGAGACGCGTGAGTTCGCAGACTGTGTTTAAGGTATTGTTCCGAGACGCTCATGTTCCCTCCAGTCTGGAACCCCGACCTCAAACCCTCGCCGTCTGGCGTGGCCCAACCCGACGATGAAAGCGGCGCATCAACACCGCGCTTTCCACAGCCGGCATCTGCGCTCCCGGACTTCGATTCACAATCAGCTTCAAGATTTCCAGGGCCAGTGCCTTCACTGCAACGGTACACACCTTCCATCGCCTATACGACCAGCAGCGAAGCTGCCGACCCGTTCTACATCTCAACACCAAAGCCAGACATCGTAGTAGGACTTGAAGATAGGGATTTCCCGCCATCGCATCGAGTTCGATTGGCCAAACACCAAAGCTTTGGATCGATACTAAGCGATCCGCATAAGGCTGCAGTGGGCTTGCGTTTCCCCTTTCTCATTGCAGAGACGAAGGGTTTGAGCCTGAATGGGGGTCTGGTGGCTGCACAGAATCAAGCTGCTATTGGTGCCGCCTGTATGCTAAAAATACTAAACGACCTTGAGAATCAGGCCGCTCTGCCCACAGAATCCACGTCTCCAGCAGAACCCTGGCTCTGTTTCTCTGTCACGACCGAGGGTCCAGTACATGAGCTGTGGGTGCATTTCAAACTTGGAGAGGCGACTCATATGCACAATATTAGGACGTGGCGCACAACACACGCACCTCACGTGTGGGAGCTGGTGTCCTGTCTCATCCGGATTTTGAAGTAGGCGAAAGATGATCTCACGGTGAAGATACGAGAAAAGTTGAACACAGTACCAGATTAACTGACCATTGGCTGGTAGTATCTAGCCTTCACTCTTTTTCGTATTAATTTCTAATATCATAGTGGCCCTACGTCGTACGTCTTCTCTACGTCTTCTCAGCTTACCGAATAGGCGATCTTAATGCAAGTTCAGTCTTTGTTATATTTATAAGCTCACAGCACTGGACATACACTTAAACAGCTGCTCTACAGCCTGGCAACAGAAATTGTCCAAATACACTAAGTCCAACTAGTGCGCCTAAAGCTTGGTATGACAGCTCTGCCAGACCAGGAACTCAACACAACTATTGTGCTTATCTCAACTCGTGCTTCTTTTGAAGTCCCTCTAACATTAAAAAAATCAAATTAACGGTTTTTGTAGATATTCTATTACGTTTAGTATACATAAGTCTCCTATGCGTGACGATTCTCAATATATCTTCATCATGCTTCAAAAAAGCCAATTGCCTCGAGGACTTCCTTGACCGTCAATGCGTCCTTTCCGCTATCAAAATAAACCGCCCCCATCAGCGCTTCAACTGATAACACAGCAGTCTCTTGCGGCACCGAACCCTGTTGGCATGGGTTTTTCGTAATACAACTTGATACGACGCTTCTCCGAGCTACCTGGCTGTGACTAATCCTAAGTATCTACTAACTATCACATTTAAAGATGAAAGTCGTATTGCTTTAGACAGAACCAGAGCAGCCACAAGGTTTGTGCTAAAGAGCGCTTTTGCGATACAGTTGGTGATGGATTATTTTCTTGCTAGTTGGGTATACCAATCACGTAATGGGTTGCGCAAGCCTCTACGGCCTCGACTGTGCCTAATCTAGTCTTGTAAGTAGTATAAACTTTCACCGCGCCGATCTTTAGCGCCTTTTATCTGCTTAGATTGTACCAATGATAGTGGATTTACTATCGCTATGACACCTGTGGAGGAAAATGCGGGGTTATTCATATAACATTATATAATGGCAAGCTGGCTTTATTATCTCTAACTTCAGCTTACAATGTAAAATCTCTGGCTGAGAATTAGCCGACCTAGTCAACAATCCAAATGGCGATGTACACTCCTGCTGCCGACAATCAACTCCTCATAGCCATATCTAAGTAGGAAATATGATTTCTTGTTTCGCATAGTGTTGACATCAAACAGGATGCGAGATGATGGCGAATTTGCTGACCTTGTGCTCACCCATAACGCTGGAAGCTTCCACGCCCACCGCATTATTGTCTGTCCTCAATCAAAAGTGTTTTATAAAGCATGCACTGGAGGATTTAAGGTGAGTTAGCATTATCGCATAGGACTCCAGCCGTTGCTAAGACTGTGTTAGGAGGAGTTTACAGGCACCATTCAGATGGATCACGTGCAGTACATAGAACTGAAGAAGCTGGTCGACTTTTTCTACAGCTCTGAGTATGATAACTGCCTGCCGGAGGAAGCTGACATATCTCTACTCCAACTCCATGCCAGGATGTTTGCACTTGCAGATCAGTACGACATTCCAGGCTTGACTCATTTAGCTGCGGGAAAATACTTTTCCAGGTGCACCACATCATGGGAACCTCTGGAGTTTCTCGTTTCACTGCAAGATGTTTATGAAACCAGCCCCGCCAGTACTAGACTGCTACGCGACACAGCCTGCACAGCTATTCGAAAGCACTTGCCAAGAATGCTTAATAGTGAGGGTGTTGCAGAAATGTACGACAAGGTTCTCTCTGAAATACCTGACTTCACCAAGGACCTATTAAGATGCTACGTTAGCAATCCTTTATATGGGCATTGCCAATCATGTTTCACGTATCAACCGATGGAAGCACTGCAAGGAAGATGCAAGAAATGTAAGAAAGGGAATAGAAGTTTTGGTTGGTAAAGCAATTGAATGGCACATGGAGGTCATGCTGAAGAGAATATGAATCAAGATGCCAGATTACTTTGTTCTTATTAGTTGATTGTTTTGAGTAGTTCAATAGTATCTCTTCATGATACATGAACATACTATTGCTAGAGCAATCTTAATCGCGATTTAGTATCCTCCGTGCCCTCGAAATCACTATGATTTTTATCATGACCAGCACCATCTACATAGTCAGAGTCTTGCTTTCGTTTCTTCCAAGTCGCAAGTCCCCAGCACACGACACTGCTGATGCTCCAGACACTTCCAAAGATGATAGGTACACCGTATCCTGAGATTACTGCACTCGTAAGAGTCGCGAAGATAGAACCAGCTGCAAAGTTTCCAATGCCAGCTTGGAAACCTGCTGCGGTGCTGCCTATTCATATGTCAGTCATGCGGCGATCAGGGTGCATATCTAAGTTCAGACCTGCAGCGATACCACCCGTCGTAAATCCAGCGAGCCCCAAGAAAGCAGGTGTGCACATTGTGAGAAGTGTGGGAACGATCAGGGCAGCAGTCTCCCAAGGGTGTGACTTTATCCACACCATTGTCGCTTTCAAGAATGTATTAATGCCCAAATTCTTAAGTGCTTCAATCGCTATATACAAACTATCCTCAGCTTGCATCCTAGCAGCACGAATTGCGATCGTGAATGACAGCAACATCAATAGTGCCAAGAAGAACAGGAGTATTGCGGATTGCATCAATTGCGGATACATTTCTCAGCGAACTTCTGAGATGGCGATTGAGTGTCTTTAAAGAATGCGAGGCTTTTGAACCGAATAAGTGCTCACTGAGTACAATCTCTTCTTCCATTTCCATGTGTTATGATCGCTTGTGAGTGCTGGCTGCTATCACCCCAGCTTCTGCTATAAGCGCCGTACGCTACTGTTGGTAAACTCCGTAGTTAAATACCTTTTCTATATGTACTTACATCCGTCTTTGACTATCACAGGTGAGTGAAGCGTGTGATGTTCATGGCTTGGGAACGGCAAAATACGGGGCTGGTGCTACTTTGCACACTGTCGTTTTCCCACCGATGTTGTGACGATCGTGGAGGTCACGCTAATTGTACGCGCATGTGATTGTATGTCGCCGCAGGTTGCGACACCTTTCCTAAGCACTCTATAACTCTTTAAAACTAACCCGTAATAGGAGCAGTGTATGGTCAATACTAGTACACACACACAATTTATTTACGCCCGGCGGCCGCGCCGAAAGGGCTACTAACACTAGTCTAACTTTACACTTCTTATGCTACGTCTTGGTCTCCTTAGCCCGTGTGTTTTCTTTGGCCCCCTTCTTTATATAGCTTATTATCTAAGTCAAAGCCCTTACTTAATATCTTAGCACGCTTCTTCTCTATCTACTAATGTTCCTCATCAGGTGCTCGT